ATTCAAAACGACACTGAATCTGCTATCTTTGAATAATTCCTTAAATTATGTGACAAGAAAAACATTTCTTGTAAATTATCAGATAAATACGCACATAATTTAATTTTTATTACTCTCTATGAAAAAATTAAGATATATTAATAATTACATTGATACATCGCTATCACCTCACATTTTCTTGTTCTATCTGTAGAAAGCTATGAATGAGAAAAGAATTAGAAAAAAATAGCAGGTTCAACGCCATTCTAATAATAAATATAAGAAAAGAAAACTTAGAACCTCGGTCAAAGTTACAATCTAGCCAAAGTTCGCGTCTTGCTTACTCCTGTGTTTGTGTCTGACTGTAGCCAGGCTCGCACTACTTTAATGTGTCTTTAAAACCTTCCCCATCCTAATGAATATTATTCCCTTTCTCATTCTTTATTTCTTGCTACAATCTTAATCAATAAAACCAAAGTATGCTCAAGGTATACGAGCATACGCGTAAGGAAAGAAGCGAAGTTGATTTTACAGATAAAGTGAACGCCACAACCGAGTTTGCCGGCAACCGCCCCTACAAATCCTTACTTTATTTTATGTCTCAGATACTTTAATCTTGTGTTTTAATAAATGTCTCTTTCTTTTATTACTCTTAGTACTTTTTCCTTTACAATTATATAATATTACTATTATTCATGTTTTACGTGTAAAAACTCTCCTGCTTTTAGTTCTTACTACTGAATAATAATAGATTATCAGCGTTATTTTTTGCCTCTTATATTTTTTAACTATGATTCGCCACTCTATCTCATATTTTAGTCTCATTAATATATTATTATTATTCTTAATATCTTATTTATCTACATATTGAGAATTCTTTATTTCTTTTGCTTGATCATAAATTTCATATAGCTTAAAACTGTTTGCTGCTTGTTGTGTATTTCTCTTTTTTATTATCACTACGCGACTTTATCTATCTTTCGTTTATTTTTACCTTTCCGAAAGAAAAAGTTTTGTCCACACCTAATAAGACGTTCACGCGTTGTAATGCATTTAAGAACACCTCGTTTCATAAACCTCGCCACGACTCTCAATCAGACTTATTTATTGAAGTTAATAACATAATCCTGTATAATCTACATGTATATGCACACACACGCACACACACACACACACACAAAACACACATATATATATATATACCTATGCGTGTGTGTGTGTGTGTGTGTGTGTATGTTAATTTATATATGTCTGCCCTTTATTGTGTGGGCCGCTCTTTATATTTAATTATATTATTTTATAATTATTTAAACGTATTATTTTTCTTGATTTGAAGTTGGAACGTTGATGCTAAAGAGAATACCTATAAATATATAATATATATGTGTCATCAGCGTTTTTCGTTTTTCGCATTTTCATATTTCCTTTTTTATTCATTATGCTTAACATAGAAAAAATATAAAATTCATTTTGCCCCGAACTTAAATATAATAAACATCTTTTGACCATTTATTTAATAAGTTTTTCTTAACTGTTCCTCAAACTGTCTTCAAACTCTTGCTTCTCGAGCATCGTCCATTTCATTAATATACAATACATCAGTGCAATGCATCATTCCTTCAACTGCATGATGCGACGCATATTTTTACGTCACGTTTCTCGTACATTCGAAACATCGCTAATTTTTAAAATCGAAATCCCGCAATTATGTCTTTACATCATTACTTTAAAATTTCCGTCTACTTGTATCGGAATTAATAGAAATTCAAATCCAAATCTAACCAAAATTTGGCTACATTATATACCATGTACTTTAAAAATTTTAAAACAGTGAAAAATGTAGAACCATTGGATGTATATATAAAAAGTCAAGACCGTAAAATGAATGAACACACTGGGAACTAATGGTTAAAAATTTCTTTGCGCCTTTCTCGGAAGTTTAAATATATTTGCGATGTGAATGCGCGAGCCGTCAGCTTACGGTGCATATATTTCAACATGGTCCATTCCTCTGATCTCGTCACGAACAAAAAAATCTACAATATTACGAATTGGCAACACGAGACAAAACAAACGTAAAATAGATAACTACGCGCTTCTAATTCCATCCTTTTTTCATTTACGCATATCAAAAACTTCGTATTTAACGAAATAATAAAACAGAAGCAACGAATAATAAAATACAAAAGATAGATAAAGAATTCAAAGTCTGATAAGAGCGGGCCGGTGTCCGACCCCAAATTTTTTTTTGGAGAGGATAAAAATTTGAAAGACAAAAACTACAACAAATATATAATTAATACAAGAATATAAATAAACGCGCGATAGCCGTGCACTTGATATCCTAGCGAAGCGAGGTTTACAAACCGATTCGATTAACTTTTGTAATGTACGTCAAAACACAATACCAATAAACAAAAATACGAGTTTAGGGAACGGCAAGAGCAATTATTCTTTAAGAAAACTGTGATAAAAAAAGCTTATAAAGAAACATAAATTAACGATGACTCTTGCTGTTCCCACGCCTCTTCAATCCTCACCACACTCACTCTCACTCACACTCTCACTCCCTCACTTCCAATCTCTCTCTCTCTCTCTCTCTCTCTCTCTCTGTCGTTCGCTCTCTTTCTCTCTTTATCTTTCTAGGAAAGTATTGCAAACCTCGTAGTCTTCATTTGGAAACAAGCTAACGGCAACGGGCAATTTTTTGTTTACTTTTTCGTGCTTTCGCCCTCGCTCTCGTATTACTTTCTCTCTATAATATATATAAAAATAAAATAAATTACAAAAATATCATACGTCATTTTGAGGAAAAAAGCCTTAAAAATACGACGACGACGACAACAACAACAAAATCTTAATTCAAAGTCTATATCTTAACTCAAACTCAATTCTAATGAAACTTATATTCAATACGAATACGAGATTTATACACAATATTTAATTTGATATTAATAATATACAGTTATTCTACGAAAATTATTATTACATACTTATTTGTCACCTTATGTCATATGGTCAATATCTCTTCATCAAATTTTTTGTTAAATTAATTATTACTCGATTATTACTAAGTTGTTTCGATAATACAGAAAAACGCTCCATGTGCCACTGCTTCATCTCTATTTAAGACTCTCACATATCACGCCAAAGTACTACTAAAAATCGCTCAGCGACTCGCGCGCTTTCTTTTAATTTTTTCTATTCTACCGCTCGAGCACCCTCACCCATCTATCCCTCCCCCTATGGAGTTTAAGACGGGTGGCGATACCGGAGTCGGTAAGTTGCGCTGAATGTTTCTCGGCGCGAATCCATAATTTATTAATAATTATCAGGCTTAACTTGGCCAGTCAAAAAAAAAACAAAAGCGCGTGATCGACGGCACGTACATGCAATGATCGCGAGAGCTAACTTTTCCGCCCGTCGTCCCATCGCGAACACGGAAAAATACAAAATCTAAATCTCCACGGTAAAATATTATCATTATACACACACATACATACACACACACACACACACAACATGAATATGCATATATACATATATGTATATGTATGTATATGTGGTATACATGTTTATAATATATATATATATATATATATTGCATATGCATACACATGCGTGTATACACACACATCCACATTTATTTATACACACACGTATATGGATATTTATATTTGTTTTATGTTTATATTTCGTCTATAAAACATATATATATATATATATATATATATATATATATACATATATATACATATATATACATATATATACATATATATACATACATACAATATATATATATATATGTTATTTCAATTGTGTCTGTCGCTTATATAAGGTTAAGATAATACTCTAAGCGCGCGATGACGGGTGGAAGAAGCTCTCTTTGATTATCTTTTCAGCCGCTAAAGCTTTTAACTTTTGCATTGATAGCACGCGAAAGCGCGTAATCCTATTCCTCTATACCTTCCTTACGAACACTCCGATATTATTTTTTTTTCTGCCTACTCCTTTGCATAAATCTGATTTTCTCATTTTCCTCTTATTCACTTTCTTTTTATAAATAATCATCTGTTATAAAGAACGTGTTTTCTACTTATTATAAAATCGGCGCCTCGGCGCAGAATCTTTAACCTTTGGGTTCGACGACCACCGTTATTCATTCATCTTTATCATTACCACCATGAAGCAAGATCATCATTATCAACATTATCATCATTATAATTGTCACTCGCTCGCATCGATGCGAATTTTATAGAGAATTTTCACGATTCGACATTACGTCATTTATAGCATTTTTAGAAGTGCAAAAAACGAGTAGGAGTAAAGAGAAATTCTACGTCGACCGTCGACGGTCGATTTATACAGAGTTACTCTTTTTTTAATTCGCACCTCACTATTTTTCTTTATATTAATCTTTTCTCTTTAATCTTTCTATATTCAATCTTTCATTATGAAATCTTTGTCTTTTATCTAGGAATCAATTTTGGATATCGGATAATATCACAATTCTTAAAGCGCGCTATTCGCACGAAATTTAATAATAAAAAATTTCTCTCCATTCTCCTTATATCGTCTCCCGCACTTACGATTTTTGCCGAATAATATATATAAATATATTCACATATATGCGCATATACATATATGTACATATACACATGCATACACACACATACACACATATATCGACACACGAGCGCGCGCGCGTACACTACACACACACACACCCATATGTATATATATATATATATATGCATGCATACATGCATATATGTACATAATAACCTCACAAATAAGTCACACTCCCAAAGATTCACTTTCTCATTTGCTCACTAAATCACTCGTACTCTCTCCATCTCTCTCCGCCCTTTTCATCATTTTAAGCTTAAAATATATGTAAACGAGAAATAGACGCGTATAGTTATTATAGGTGATAAGAGAGAATGAGAAAAATAGTGGAGTGACAACCGAAAGCCGCGAGAGAAAGAGCGAGATAGATAAATAGATAGATAGAGAGAGAGAGAGAGGGGAGGAAAGAGAGAAATTGATAAAGCGATGAGAGAGGAGAGAGAGGGAGTAAAGCGTCGATTGAAGAATCGAGAGCTTGATAAAACGAGAATAGTGGTCGTCGACAATCTTACACACACGATATATTATATACGCAATTTTCTTATCTTTACATATATATATCGCGCTGTTTATAATATAAACAAAGAAAAAAAACATGAAACAAAAATAATAACAAAACACGAAGCTTCCACATTCGTCTGTTCATCAGCTCCTTCCTACTATTCTATGCTCCTCGAAATCAGATCTCGACGGCGTCACGCTAATGTTCATTTAAAATCGATTCGTTGTATATTCCGTTTGGCGGCCTTTCACCTCCAGCCGCTCGAAAACACAATAATCCCCTAATAAATAAGCGGTCGTCACGCCGATCGCGTCTCCCGCAGTGACAGCAGCGGAATTGAAAACTTTGTGCTGCTCTTCTTGCTCGGCCGTGCACAACCGCGCACAACCGCGCACAATCGCACTCGCCCGCACTCGGCCGCGAAATCCGCTGAGCTTCCTAAATGCTCGGCCCGCAGCTTAGATGATGATGCGCAACGCCTGGAGCACTGGCTTCGAGCACACGGGACACATGGGTTCGGAACTCATGCAGATGCGGTGCCCGCACTCGAGGCAGAAGTGCTTGTGCCCACAGGGCACCAGGGCCGTCGTTACATCCTTATCCCCGCAGACGACGCACTCGCGTACTCCGGAACCGGAGCCCGCGCTACCACTGCCCGCCCCGCTGCCCGTACCTAGGAGGGAGTCCGTTGGGGAGGCGGGGGAGGCCGAGGCCGGGGGCGATGGTCGTGAGGGCAGCGCAACCCCGGGGAAAGACCAGATGGAGGAGGCCGAGGCAGGCTGGGACTCGAACGAGGGCGACTCGCCGAGGCCTTCGTCCCGCTCGAGACCCGCACCCCAAATAGCCACAAGGTCGTTGAGACCGGCGGCGCCGCTGCTCGAGGACGAGCTGCTGCAGCTGCCGCTCGAAGAGAACGCTCCGCTTGAGCCGTTGCTGCCCTTGGCGCCCGGCGGGTCCAGGCAACCGAGGATGGAGCCGAGACCGCCGCGACATAGCGCCTCCAGAAGGTCCTTATCGTCGTGCATACACATTGGGAGGACGCCCGTTCGCTGGGTGATGTGGGCCTGGATCTCGTTGCGCGCCGCGGCCACGCTCTCCGGCAATCCCGTGACCTCAAACACTGGCTCCTTGTCCCGACTCGGCGTCACAATGTACGTGTGTGTTTGATGCTGGATGCGCTTGATGGTCGCGCCCTTGGGTCCGACTACGAGGCCAACCACGCGATAAGGGACGCGCACCTGGATGGTGATGTGCCCGGGTACCGAGGCCGGGGGTCCGGGCGGGGCACCGAGAAGGGCTCCCAGAGAGGATTTACGGGAGGCTCGAATCTGGGAGAAGTGCTCTGCTGCCGAGAGTATCTCACGTTTAGCTCGCGCAACATCCTCCTTACGGCCCGTTACGACAAACACGGGCTCCTCGCCCCGCACTGGTGTCTTTATGTAGGTGTTGGTCTTGGCGCGTAGGGCCTTTATCTTGCAGCCTGAAAACATAAAGAAGACGACGTTTTAGAACCAAAGTTAGGGTACTTATGCGGCAAGTCCTAGACTCGCACCTCATCGGTTGCTTGTTCCTACTATTCGCTTGGCTTTGAGGAACAGGAGGGCAAGGAGGAAGAGGTGGTGGAGAAGGAGAAGAAGAAGGAGTTAGGGGATGAGTAAAGCAGACCTATTGGCTAATGGCGATATAATGAAGTTTGGAATAAAAGGTTCGAATGGAGTAGCGGTGGGCGTACGTGATAACGACAAAACCGTAATAATAACGTAATTTCGGATTTAAGTTATCGACTTGGGTGGCTTTCACGGACATGATGCCCATTCAACAGTCCATTACGCCTGTAGGAAATGTGAGCAGAATTCGAGAAATTTAAGGCTTCTTGTTAAAATTATTGATTAAGTTTGTTGTGAGTAGCATAGTATTTAATATTTAAAGGATAATTTTAACTCGTGCGATGGAGCGATCAATTATAATTTACTTGTAACAAAATATTTTAAAACGTTGACTCAACTTTAAGTTAATAATTAATAACTCTTTAATTACGCTTCAATTTATGTAGATCTAGATATTATCGTCTGTTTTTTAAGTTTTTGAAGTACTGCGTGATATCAGCGACGCATGTGTTGAAGATTAATAATACTTCCAACTACACTGGGACAGCATATCTTCAATTTTAAATGTTATTAAATAGCTTTAATGAGCATGCACTTGCCTCGCAAAAAGTTAAGAACAAAAGCAAAGCGATTAAGCCATTCGTTCGTCGCAAAAAATGCTGATACAAACGGCGCATACTTTTCAAGCGTGGAAATGGCTACAGCAGTTGCTGCAGTTTATATATGAAATAATTGTTGTTCCAAGGCTCACTCTGGTTTTTTATTTCAATACAATCTAACTATCTCCCTCCCGAGTTCCCTCTTCATCGTCTTCGAAATCCTCCTCCTACTCTCTCTATCTCTGTATCTGTCTGTCTGTCTATCTGTCTGCCTCTCTCTCTCTCTCTCTCTCTCACACACACACACACGCACGCGCGCACACACACACACACACACACACACTAACTCACTCACTCACTCACTTACTCACTACTAAATCTAAAACGTATAGCAGAAACAATACAATAAACAGCGTATTTTTATCATCTACGAAGAAAGTAAGTCCAGCATGTGAAGTCTACATTATGTAAGAGTAAACTCTTGTTTGAAGGATTGCCAACTCCTTCCATTAAAAGAGCCCCCACATTCAAATAATAATACTATTAATCATACTTAATAATGATTACCGCGCTCGAAGATGCGATATAATAGGGAAAAAGGTGAAAGAGAGAAAATATAGCAAACGTAATTACAAGGTCGGGCAACCATACGACTCAATGAAATTTCTCACGATCGCTGCAAAGGAAATCCGGAAAGCATTCGAGTCCCGAAATCTCGATATTCCGTGGAATGCACGAGCTGTCATTCCAGCTCCTTTTCGAAAATCCTGCCCACCCTAAGTGAGCGAGGCACTCGACGCTCAAGGTCAGGGTGTCTCGCAAAAAGCAGAAGAAAACGGAGGAGAGAAGGAGGCGCTCGCGACCGGTCCGGTCCTCCTCGTCGCCTCTCCTGGCCGTGAGCCGCGCGCAATGCTTGCAATGCAGGTGAACCACGTCGGCCGTCTCTCCCTCTCGTTCTCTAGCTCCCTTTCTCTCATTTCACTCTCTCCGCAGCTCCGCGCTGAGAACTCGTTTCTCCCTTCCGCTATTCCCAACAGCAGCAGCAGCAACAGCAGCAAAAGCAGCAAAAGCAGCAACAGCAGCAACAGTAACAGCTACAGTAACAGCAACAGTAACAGCAACAGCAACAGAACAGCAACAGCAATACAACTATGACCACCACGGCGATCTACACGAGCTCCTCTTTTTTCTATTCTGCTGCTGCTGCGGTTCGCCTCGCTCTGCCAATCCTCAAGGACTAAACAGTTTTTAACGGCGTTTAATCGAACACGATAAACTTGTCTCGCGGGGAAAGCATGGCTGTTGCATTTAAGAATAATGTGCGATAAGGAACAACTGTCAATGCACGACGGCATCTTTGCCTACGTTAGGTTAAGAGGGATGCGAAAGTAGTATCATAAGAAAAGAAAGAGAGAAGGGAGAGAAGCTAGTATTAAATCGTATACGGAGTTTTATTTCTCACATGGGCTTAATTCCGGATGGCCTTTTGGCATTAGTCTTCGAGGTACTTGGTGAACCAGACTTGGAGTCGAACAAGGGCTTCCAAGGCCCTTGTATACTTTTACGAACCGTTGTACTTGCGAATGCTGGGAGCTTCGTTAGCTCAAGTCATCGCGAAAACTAAACACTTTGTTTCAAGAGGCTGCCCAGCGATACGAATCCCGTTTTCATCGGAAGCATGCGATCTTGGGAAGATCGCGGGGTCGAGTCCACGTTCCCAGCCAACGCGGGCGCATTCTTCATCACGCGGCGATTTCATGCCGATGATAAATCGACGCGCGCCCAAGGACGACTTTTCCGTCGGTTAAGTGCGCCTGTAAAATATCCGAGGACGAAGGCTTATGGCCTTTCCACGGCCATCCGCTAGAAATCAGCCGCAGCTGCTTCGACGATCCACGGCGTTCCCGAAGATGGGCCCCGGCCTACGCTCTTACCCACCACCGCCTTCCCCGATCCGTCCGGCCGTTACCACACCCGCGTCCTTCTCCTCACCGCAGCCTGATCGGGCAGCAGCAGCCGCGCCCCCAATCGGCCCATCGAAAGTACCACGATTATTGCGCGCACGCGTATCTCCATCGCGCCGAGCGAAATTTATCACAACGGCGTGGAAATCCTATTGAGATTTTAATGGGCGCTTCGGGATTTGTGCCATCCTCATTAATTGATAGCTGTCGTGGAAGTTCTTTTAATACATTCATCGGCTATATTTGCCAAGAAGGTTTCTTGCTGTACAATTCTCATGCTACAGTATCGCTTGCAATTATTGCCCTTTGTTATTGGTTTAGCTTATCCTCGCATTTATATAGATCGCTAATGAATGCATTTCGCCCCTTAAATTACTGTTTTAAATTACGTTTCGCGTGATACGCAATATTTCATAAGAATGTTAGGTCGCTACATTTATATAGCGTTAAATATTATTATAATTTCCACACTTGGCCACGGCTTGCCGGCTTGTCGCGACATGAGTCTTTCGGATTTTTCTGGCCACTTGCCACTTTCCTAATATAATGTTTAAATACCCACGAGAAATATTTAAACATCACGTCCATATTCATTTTTGCTAAAACGGCTTTTACGTCGCACAATGCACGCGAGAGGCGTAGCTTAGCACATACGCGACTCTAAAAGCAAAAATAACTTCCTCGTTTCCTGTGCCTTGTTTCTCGTCAGAGGAGAAAGAGCCCGGGACATTCCAGAACCGAGGCGGCACTACTATGCGCATATAATAGATATGTCGGCCAGCGGCGGATTAATCCGCGAGTAACCGCAAACGAAGGGACCAAGTTCGCTACCAAGTGAAGTGTAATGGAGGCAAGCGAGATTCCGATTAAACGCTGCCGTTCACCCTGAGCGAAGCTACGGTGCGAAGATGCGCACAGACCGCCTCCTGCTGATGCGTCTGTGAAAACAAAGGCATCGTCGGTGAAGTCCTTGCGCACATACCGGGACAATGTCAGGGCCGTTCACCGACTCAGGGCCGCGTGCCCCTCCTTATTTTTAGCATTTCGCGAAATTATCGAGCCGCTGCTCAGTGATGCCTCTGACCAACTGCCCCCTCACTCCTCCACCTCGTATAAAAGGCATCCTGATTTTTCATCCTTCGACCCTCTGTCCCAGCTAGCGCTTCAAGGCGCACAAGGCAATAGCTACTTTGTTTTAACGCATGTAAATTTACGCAACTGTGCAACTTTTTCAGTACTCTGTCATCGATCGTTTGATCGCGGCTGTGAAATTTAATGGTCGAACTGCGCCAGCGTGTTTGGCACATCGTGGACGCAATCGCTACATGTAGCTTTCGCGATGGTCTTGACGCTTTTCGTAAAATCGATTTTTAACTTTTATATACGTTTGAAATCATCGACGTAAAACGAAAAGCAAGTTCTTCGCTTATTACTTGTATTTTATTACTAATTCATTGACCTCGTTTCCAACAGATGGACACGGGCAGAGTTAACGACACTGCCAACCAACGGTTTGTTTCTACTCGCTCCCACGATATGAAATATCAATTTACGTCAATTTGTAAGTAATTAAAAAAGTAAAAATGTACCGAACCCAAGTCTTGGTGAGTTAATAAAACTGGTTTTTAATTTAACGCGCTGATTATGAGCTTTATCAGTTAATAATTTCGCTTCATTATGTGTGATGCGGGCTGAGAGAGGCCCCAAAGAGTCAATCATCGTCGATCAAGACTCATTTTCCACCTTCTGGCAAACGAGAAAGTGGACGCGCTTTCGAAATGGAGCCCTCGAACGAGTCAAAGTCGCGCCAGTCCTTGCAATTCATTGCCATTCCGCCTTCCAGTGCTCCGATCGCCTTGTCTACCCCCCTCCCCTCCCCCATCGGTTACGTCGTCTACGTGAACTCACGAAGCGCGAGGCTCGAGAGGTTTTGCCAGCGAGCCTTCGATTATTATTAGCCCCCCGCGACTACGCTTTTATCTTTTCCTTTATTGTTCCGAAGAGATTTGCGCTCCATCGCCTCTGCTGTTGTTGCTGCTGCTGCCGCCAACGCCGACGCCGCCGACGCCACCGCCGTGAAAGCGAGAGCGGAGAGTTCCTTTAGCGCCGTTTTGCTTCGGTGGCAAAGAGCGGTGGGGCAGGAAGAACCCCTCGACCTGCGATTTCTCTTTTTGCGATCATGTGGGGATGACGAGGACGAGTCGGGTCTCTTCAGTTGTATCGGCCAGCGCTGCATTTCAGGTGAGGAGCGGACGATAGCGCGGATCCTTATGCGCTGCTCTTACCACTTTTTACGTACTCTTCTCCCTC